CGCTTAAGCCTAACCAGTGCCAAGGAAGGTGGCACTGGAGGTGTTGCAAAAATGATATTTTTTTCTTATTGCTGCGGAGAGCTAGTTACGAATATTAAATAACGCACTATAATATTTGAACAGTACAGTATTTGGTTTGCTATTTATTCATTTAAATATTTACAAGAAAATAAAATGGGATTTAACAGAACTTAAGGCGCATATGTTAAAAGTCATCGTACAGCGTGTCAACACCCACGTGTCGACACACGTGACAGGCAGATATGTAAAAGGGAAAGATCGATCTTTGAGGATCACCCTAAATGGTACCAAACAAATGGAAGAAGTATTAAGGAATGCTTGAAAATTACAAAGTGATGAGGATGGGAAAGTGTGGTCGTTAAGACGAGATCTTACAAAAGAAGACAGAGAAGCTGAAACTGAACCTCACCGAGGCAAAACGTTTAAATGAGAGCAGAAATGAAGAAGAAATCAATTATTTTTTCTACAAAGTGATACGGGTAGGCAGACCAATAAAGTGGTACATAAACCAACAAAATCAATAGAGAGAGAGGGGGAGTGAAGAATAAGGAGAGGGGGGAACAAGTTCCTGAAGATTGCATACACAAACATAGATGGAGTGAGATCGAAGATACTGGAGTTAAGTGATATAATACAGCTGCAGACACCAGACATTGTTGCACTCACGGAGACAAAACTTGAAGATGCTATTTTAAATGAGGTCATATTCCCAAGGGGCTACTCAATTTGGAGACGGGACAGAAAAATCAGGAAAGGCGGTGGCGTTGCTGTGCTGGTGAAAGAACACCTAAAGGTGAACGAAATAGTGACTGCCAATCCACAAGAAGTTGACATAATAGCACTAGAGATCTGCCATGAGGATGATAAACTAATGATCATAAATGCATATAGTCCACTGTTAAGCAGCACATGGTCAAAGGAGGAGCTAGATAGTAAACGAGAAGGTCTTATAACAATAATGAGAGAGATCATAGCGAGAGCGGATAACGATAGTTCACGACTGTTGATAGTCGGCAACTTCAACTTTAAATCCATAGACTGGGAAGCATGTGAAGCTAAAACAGAAGATTTCTGGACCTGTAAATTTGTAGACCTCATCCTGGAAACATTCTTGTATCAACATGTTAAACAAGCTACGAGGATGAGGGAAGGGGACGTCCCCTCCATGCTAGATTTTATATTTACCAGGAAGGAGGAAGAGATATTTGACATTCAGTACCTTCCTCCCTTGGGTAAAAGTGACCATGTCTTTTTGGGAATAAAGTATGCAATGCGTTATAATCTGGAAGAAAATATGACGGTCGATGCAAATGAAAAACCTGACTTTAGGAGAGGACATTATGGCAACCTTAGAAAATTTTTTAGTGAGTATAATTGGACAGACTTGTTGCTAGGCAAGGAAGTGAATGAGATGTATGTCAGGTTTTGTGAAATATATGATAAAGGCACAAAAAAATTTATACCAAAACAGAGAAGCAGAACTAGGAAACAGAATTAGTTCAACAGAAAGTGCGAGAGGGCCAGAGACCAAAAAACACAAAAATGGATTCAATACAAGAAGAGGCCGAACCCCCAAACATACCAGCGATACAAAGATGCGAGAAACAACTACACGGCAGTGAGGAGAAAGGCAGAAAGAAATTTTGAAAAAGGGATTGCAGACAAATGCAAAACAGAACCAGGTCTGTTCTATAAATTCATAAACAACAAATTGCAGGTAAAGGATAATATTCAGAGGTTGAAAATGGGAAATAGATTCACGGAAAATGAAAAGGAAATGTGTGAAACATTAAACGAAAAGTTCCAAAGTGTGTTTGTACAAAATGAAATCATCAGGGAACCAGATACAATAAGAATTCCAGAGAACAACATAGAGCACATAGAGGTGTCCAGAGACGAAGTGGAAAAAATGCTCAAGGAGCTAAATAAGAACAAAGCAGTTGGTCCAGATGGAGTTTCACCATGGGTTCTGAGAGAATGTGCACCTGAGCTCAGCATTCCTCTTCAACTTATTTTTCAGGCATCCCTGTATACAGGAGTTGTAGCTGATGTGTGGAAAAAGGCTAACATAGTTCCAATCTACAAAAGTGGAAGCAGGGAAGACCCCCTTAATTATAGACCGGTATCATTGACAAGTGTAATAGTCAAAATATTGGAAAAAATAATTAAAACTAAATGGGTAGAACACCTGGAGAGAAATGATATAATATCAGACAGACAGTATGGTTTTCGATCTGGAAGATCCTGTGTATCGAATTTACTCAGTTTCTATGATCGAGCAACAGAGATATTACAGGAAAGAGATGGTTGGGTTGACTGCATCTATCTGGACCTAAAAAAGGCTTTCGACAGAGTTCCACATAAGAGGTTGTTCTGGAAACTGGAAAATATTGGAGGAGTGACAGGTACGCTTCTAACATGGGTGAAAAATTTTCTGACTGATAGAAAAATGAGGGCTGTGATCAGAGGCAATGTATCGGACTGGAGAAATGTCACAAGTGGAGTACCACAGGGTTCAGTTCTTGCACCAGTGATGTTTATTGTCTACATAAATCATCTACCAGTTGGTATACAGAATTATATGAACATGTTTGCTGATGATGTTAAGATAATAGGAAGGATAAGAAACTTAGATGATTGTCATGCCCTTCAAGAAGACCTGGACAAAATAAGTACATGGAGCACCACTTGGCAAATGGAATTTAATGTTAATAAATGCCATGTTATGGAATGTGGAATAGGAGAACATAGACCCCACACAACCTATATATTATGTGAGAAATCTTTAAAGAATTCTGATAAAGAGATCTAGGGGTGGTTCTAGATAGAAAACTATCACCGAGGACCACATAAAGAATATAGTGCGAGGAGCCTATGCCACGCTTTCTAACTTCAGAATTGCTTTTAAATACATGGATGGCTATATACTAAAGAAATTGTTCACGACTTTTGTTAGGCCAAAGCTAGAATATGCAGCAGTTGTGTGGTGCTCATATCTTAAGAAGCACATCAACAAACTGGAAAAGGTGCAAAGACATGCTACTAAGTGGCTCCCAGAACTGAAGGGCAAGAGCTACGAGGAGAGGTTAGAGGCATTAAATATGCCAAAACTAGAAGACAGAAGAAAAAGAGGCGATATGATCACTACATACAAAATAGTAACAGGAATTGATAAAATCGATAGGGGAGATTTCTTGAGACCTGGAACGTTAAGAACAAGAGGTCATAAATATAAACTAGCTAAACACAGATGCCGAAGAAATATAAGAAAATTCACTTTCGCAAACAGAGTGGTAGACGGTTGGAACAAGTTAGGGGAGAAGATGGTGGAGGCCAAGACCGTCAGTAGTTTCAAAGCGTTATATGACAAAGAGTGCTGGGAAGACGGGACACCACGAGCGTAGCTCTCATCCTGTAACTACACTTAGGTAATTACACGTGGAGGAGAGATGGGAAGGCCAGCGTGAGGTGGGGGGGGGGGGGGGAGTGGGTGACCAGGCAGGACGTGTGATCTGTCTCTGTCCAGTCTCGCCCACCCATCCACTTTTTTACCCACCTGCCTGCATGTCCACCTACCCACCTGCCAACCCAGCCACCTGTTCACACACTTGCCTGTTCACCCACCTGCCTGCATGCCCACCTGCCAACCCACCCACCTGTTCACCCACCTTCCTGCTCGCCCACCTGCCAACCCACCCACCTGTTCACCCACCTTCCTGCTCGCCCACCCACCTACCCACCCACCTTCCTGCATGCCCACCTGCCACAACCCACCCACCTTCCTGCTCACCCACCCACCTGCCTGCTCGCCCACCCACCTGACTGATAGCCCACCCAGCCACCTGTTCACCCATCTCCATGCAAGCCCGCCCACCCAAATGTTCACCCACCTACATGCACACCTAGTGCCCGAACTAAGGGACATGAGCTATGAGGAGAGACTACGGGAATTAAACCTCACGTCGCTGGAAGACAAGAGTGTTAGGGGGACATGATCACCACATACATGATTTTCAAAGGAATTGAAAGACAATTTATTTAACACAAGGGGCACACATACTAGGGAACACAGGTGAAAATTGAGTGCCCAAATGAGCCCTTAAGATATTAGAAAAAAAACATTTTAGTCAGTATTTAATATATGAAATGCATTGGGAAGTAGTGTGGTGGAGGCAGACTCCACACAGTTTAAAGTGGAGATATGATAAGAGCCCAATAGGCTTAGGAAACTGTACACCTGTTGATTGACGGTTGAGAGGTGGAACCAATGAGTCAAAGCTAAACCCCCACAAGCATAACACATTAGAAAATGAGGAAATAACAATATTTCAGTCTGTCCTGAACCATTATCAAGTCATGTGATTGAAGAGAGGAAGGGACAGGCAAATAAAGTCTAGGTACATTCCTGCTAGAATGTACCTAGCTAATGTCATTATTCTAGAAATAATGCAGTTTCTAAGATAGGTTGAAATGTCTCCATTTCTACATTTTCTGATGTGTGGTTTGATCATCAGATGTTATGCCATGATACAGAGACTCATCGTCTGCCTACAGCCTTTTACTTAGGGTTGCCTTTTCTCAATATGCTAGTTATATTTATTTATTTATTGTATGAGATTGCAGTTCGCTACAGACCCATTGTTGGACCACCCTAGTATATACATTACACACACAAGAGAGTGTGTGCATGCCCATATCCTCTTATAAAAATCATGTTTATTAATAAGGTTGCAATCAAGTATACATAAACCAATAGACTTTCTGCAACATTTTTTAAGCAGCTGTGCATATTAACCAAATTTAAGGAAGTGATTTAAATGGTGCGCAGGTTTTCTTAAACCTAAGTTAACTTAGGTTTATTATTGCAGTGTTGAATAAATACAGCAAACATTTAAGGAACTAATTAACCAAATCAATCTAATAATTAAATACCGTACAATATGAATTTAAAACTTCAGAAACTAATTATTAAAACTTACCAAATATGTAAATATTGGAATGATGCCATCTAGACTATATATGACACGATGAATAACGGCGTAATAACTATCAATAAGCTGGAAGTCATCCAACTGCTGCAAAAAATAAAAACATTTTGAATTTAATTAATGAAGGCTTCAACAATTCCATGATTTTAATTTTATTAATGATTTTAAATTGATTTTAGTGATTTTAAATTTAGCTGAGCATTTACGATTACAATAATAATTAAGTATACAGTATTTCTATCAGTCATAATTTGTGTTTGTGGTAACCAAGGCAAGAAAAACCAATAATAGAATATGAGTACTAAAATATTTTAAACATGCCAATAATGTCATGTATTTTATTAACCCCAGGACAGCGGCTATAGAAAAATAGTCATACCTGCCTATGCGCAAAAAAATAAAAAATATATTTTTTCATTATAGAAATATTAATTTGCATGCAAATTTTATTAAAAAAAAAGCACCGAATGTAATGAAAAGCCATTTTCTGGGCGAGCCCCGGGGCTCCCTGAAGCTATCGAACTGAAACTAGCTATATTAGTCTAGGGCTTCAGTCATATGGAGTTCTTATGCCTACCGGAAACAAGAAGTCAGAACCTGGTTCCATAGGCAATGGCCTATGAAAACTCCACTTTTGAGAGTACTGTATATTCATGTCTGGCATCGACCGGGGTTTAGGCACCCAGAAAGGTAGGCATCCCAAAACTGACCCCCAACTGGTAGAAAACTGCAAACCAAGACCAAATAGAACCCAAGAACCCCCCCTCCCCCCAAAAGAAAACAAGGTAACAAGCAAAGCGTCATCAAACAGACGCACAGCTCGTTCGCACCCCCCTCCCCTGAGACAGTCACCTGCTCACTAGTTTGGAAACCAAGAAGGAACAACGCTGGTTTTCTGTGGGGAGCTCCGTTGGCTCCCTGAATCTAGATACCCAAAAATAAGTAAAAGACGGACTTACCCCGGTGGTGGCCGCACCACGTGCTTCATGACGAAGAAGGGGACAACTGGCTGCAACCAACAGCCCAAGGTCACACAAAACCGCCGATGGCCTGGAAAGTTCAAGAGGTAACAGATGGCCAGACCCTCTACAACCTCCAAAACCCCTGTGCCTGAATGTCAGCCCAAGACATGTTCCTCAACACAGCAGTACGAGCCACAAACTTCCGAAAATCATGGGCATACGGCTAGACTGCAGGCTGGCTAGAATTAATAACCCTGCGGAGGACCTGAGAGACCCAAGCCCTGAAACAGGGAACGAGGTATATCGGATCAACTCAAAGCGTAGCCCCGGACACAGAACCCGAGGAGAGCAGGAAACAGCGTAAAGCCACAACCAGACACACCATGATATACCCCCAGCCTGACCAACCAAGCATCAATAACTCATGGAAACCCACCAAAAAAGCCAGCCATCTCATTCTTCACCAAAAAAGAAGACGGCTGCAAATGACCAAAACGGCCACCAGGACCGAAAGAGCAGAAACCGCTGCGCCAGAGGCGCAGGAGTGAGCATGAAGCTCACCGACCCGACCCTCAGAGGCGAAAGTCAAATAAAACAAAGCCTTTTGAAAACAATCTTGGACCGAAGGTGCCACAACAAACCGAGGAGAAGAGGAAGACTGCAGCACCCGATCCAAAGACCAGACCTGCTCAGGCAGTGCACGAGCAGGCCCGAGGTGGAAAAATGCACGAGAAAGCTTATGGAACAAAGCCAAAGTGACATCCACCCCGAATGCAAGCTAGAGCGGCTCTGCCAGTGCAGCACGATAAGTATGCAGCATAAGGTGTCAGTCCTGAAAGAACCAAGAAAGGAAAGACAAAATACGAACAGAAACAGAAGATAACCTACGACGAGAAAGGAAGTGTTGAAAAGAACGCCAAGACATTTCATACTGTCGCTGAGAAGACCCCAGGTGGGACACCATGAGAGAGGCCACTTGATCACCATACAAGTGGTAACACATACGGGTCAAAAATACCAGATGCGTAGAGCAGATCGAACCAGCAAGGTACCTCACTGGCCCGATCTCCTGAAAGAAGTGGAACTGAGGAAAAATGACCCGGGTTCGGACACTGAGCAAGCAGCACCTGAAACCAAGGTAGGCTGGCCACCATGGGGCCAGAAGGAGAACCCTGTCCCCCACTAGATCTCCAGCTGAGCCAGAACCCGAAGCAACAGCTGGAGTGCGAGGGGGGGGGGGGGGGGGGGGGAGAACAGATAACCCCCACCAGTCCCTCCACAAAGTGTCGACCGCGACGGCTTCTGCAATCAGGGAAGAACTCCACATACACTGGGAAACGCCATGACCATGCCAACATGGAGAGGTCCACCGCCAAGGGCCCGAACGTACGGCAACGGAAGGAGTCGGCCTCAAACGTTCATTCCATAGACAAAGGAATGAACTGAGGCTGTCCACCAGGATGTTGGACACGCCCTTGAAGTGAACCAAACAGAGAGCAAAACCTCAAGAACTCGGCAGAAGAGCCAATCGAAGCGACAAGCCCCAAAGAGCCAAGAACCAAAGAGACCCGAACCCCCACAATTCAGGTGATGAACCATCGTGCCTCTGAGGCCTCACTGGCAAGAAGGCTCTTGGCGCGCCTCCGAAGGCCCTCGCTGGCAAGAAGGCTCTTGGCGCGCCTCCGAAGGCCCTCGCTGGCAAGAAGGCTCTTGGCGCGCCTCCGAAGGCCCTCGCTGGCAAGAAGGCTCTTGGCGCGCCTCCGAAGGCCCTCGCTGGCAAGAAGGCTCTTGGCGCGCCTCCGAAGGCCCTCGCTGGCAAGAAGGCTCTTGGCGCGCCTCCGAAGGCCCTCGCTGGCAAGAAGGCTCTTGGCGCGCCTCCGAAGGCCCTCGCTGGCAAGAAGGCTCTTGGCGCGCCTCCGAAGGCCCTCGCTGGCAAGAAGGCTCTTGGCGCGCCTCCGAAGGCCCTCGCTGGCAAGAAGGCTCTTGGCGCGCCTCCGAAGGCCCTCGCTGGCAAGAAGGCTCTTGGCGCGCCTCCGAAGGCCCTCGCTGGCAAGAAGGCTCTTGGCGCGCCTCCGAAGGCCCTCACTGGCAAGAAGGCTCTTGGCGCGCCTCCGAAGGCCCTCACTGGCAAGAAGGCTCTTGGCGCGCCTCCGAAGGCCCTCACTGGCAAGAAGGCTCTTGGCGCGCCTCCGAAGGCCCTCACTGGCAAGAAGGCTCTTGGCGCGCCTCCGAAGGCCCTCACTGGCAAGAAGGCTCTTGGCGCTCCTCCGAAGGCCCTCACTGGCTGAAGGCTCTTGGTGCGCCTCCGAAGCCTCACTGGCTGAAGGCGCTTGGCGTGCCTGAAGTTTCATAGCTGCTACTTACAGTTAGTTTGCCTGCTTATGACAGGGTTTACTGGCTTAGCTGGCCCCAGTGTCTGGGGCTTATTCACTCTCCAGGCCCTGGGAAAACCCCTGTGGGCTCAGTCATACCATGGATACTTCTTCTGAGCCCACGCTCGCCTTGTACAAATTTGCAGGTTGTTCAGTGCCACTGCCTCAGGGTGGTGATCATCCATACTGCCTGCGCTCTACCACCATTTGGGTCGTAAACATCTATGACTGAATCTCTTGCAATTGGCCAGGTTGGTTGCCCATTTGGAAGCTCCGAAGCTGCCCTTCTTAGGTTTTATTGACAGTTGTTTTGGCCTTGGTTCACTCTGCACATTCTCTTCCTTCCCAGATGGGCGTGGTTCATCCTGCTCTCCCTGCCTGCTCTCGGCTCCCAAACGTCTGAGGGTTTTGGAGTTAAGGCAAGGGGTTTAGCTTGGGGTGAGGCTCGGGTGGCTTTGGAGGTGCCAGCAGTCCCCCAGCAGACTCCCTTCTTCGAAGCCTTTTCCTTGGACTCCGCTCTTCCTTCTGGAGTGGTAGGCGTGGATGAAGGCTCCACCCCAGGGCCTTTGTCGATGGTTTCTAGGGCTCAGGGGGAGTCTGCATGGAGCTCTTGGGTTCCTTTTGACCCCGCTTGGGACCCTCGTGCTCTCTGTGCAGGGAATTCTTCAGCAGGGGGAGGGATTTTCATACCCCCTCCATTCCTTTTCGAGACCGAGTTGGGTGGGGCTCTCCCCACACCCCCCCCCCCCTGTACTTTCGCGAAAGTACAGTATTGTTAATACTGTACTTTTGCGTTTTGGGCGAGCGAGCATCACGCCACCCTAAAGTTACCTGGGCATTCCCTGTGAGCGCCCGGTAATACTGAAATGTATATACTCTTTTCACTGTGGTCACCTCAATTCTCTTTCTAGGCGTTTGATTTTGGTATCAATGTATTCGCAATAGAATTCCCTACAGGAGTATATGCATGTAATGTTCTAAACTGCAGAACATTCCGCACGTTGGCAAACAATCCACGAATAGCCGGAATGTTCTCACGTTGTGGATGCGAGGGGAGGCAGAAGCGGTCAGTAGAATGGGACGATAACAATGGGCCTACCTCATGGGTCGTGCTGGGTCCGTGCCACATGGCCCCTCTCGGAAAATGGGAACACATTGGCGCTAATTTTGAAACCAGTCCCCAAAAAACCAGCGTTAAATGTAATGAAATGCCATTTTCTGGGTGAGTCCCGGAGGCTCCCCGGAGCTATCCCAGGCTGATATGCTAATGTCAGACTTTGGCATCAGTCATGTGTATGGAGTTCTTAAGCCTACTGGGGACCACGGCCAGAACTGGGCCCCCTCAGAGAGGCAAGGGGAGCGATGGCCTATAGAAGCCCCCATATGGTTGGAAGCATTCCATGTCTGCCATCGACCGGAACAGGCACCCAGAAAGGTAAGTGCCTCAAAACAAACCCCTATTCTGGTTAAAATTGCTACCAAAAGCCAAACTAGTGGATAGAACTCCCCAAAAGAAAACAAGCAAACTAGTGTGACGTCACACGCCGCAGTGCCACTGTCTGTGCAGCTCCCCCCTCCCCGGGAGGGGGAAGGGGGGAGCCCCAGACCCTCCACGCCAGCTACCCACACCTCAGTTCTTGAGGCTGGATGTCTAAAACGCGAAAAAAACGCCGACCAGAGGGAGGGATGCCGGGGAGCCTCTGGGACTCGCCCAGAAAATGGCGTTTCATTACATTCAACGCTGGTTTTCTGG